ATGTTATGATGTCTGTTGATTGCAAAATGTTATACACAAAAAATGAGCATGTATTTACAAAACCGAACATCTCTATATATACACACACAATGACCCGTGAGGGCATCTGCAAATGAACCAGCCGTTACACTTGAGTGCACACCCACCCGCTCTGACTGGGTTCGGTATCCCAGCTGCTTCGTTTCTTGGGAAGTAAACCGAAGTATACAATATTGCACTTTTGATTTGCGATTGTACGCTTATAATTTTGTTTATATGTTTTTTCATAACCAGCAATGTATATTATATGTCATGAATAAGTGATAATTGTGTTTTAATTATGTTTGATTGTTTGGTTGCATGTGACCTTTAAGTAACTGACAGAACATACAAAATTACTAGTCTTGTCTTGTCTCCTGTTAGCCTTAAACTAAAATCTGACCTGGCCAAATTTTATCTGTGTATCATTTTCTGTTCTACGTTTTCGTTTTGTTTTGTTTTTTGTTGTTGTTTTTTACTTTAACTCGAATTTTGATTAAACCTCCCTTGCAACCTGCAAAAATTACCCTCCCATCAAGAAAAGCGACGCGATTTTGAAGTTTTAAAAGAAAATCTAGTTTCTTCCTCGTTGGGAATCAAAGTAAAACAAAACCGTGATGGGAGTTGATTCCTTATTTTGTTTTCAAGAGTTCCCGATTGAACTGCCTCTCACGTAGTTCAACGTTTGTAAAACAGATAACCATACATGTAATCGACCTTACATAGAATTCACTGTGTACATTTGTGTATATCATCCACGAGCAATGTCAGAGTAAAGATGCATCAAGTTTCATGTAATGAAAGCTCAGAAGCATAAACCGATTCATGTAAATAAATCTGCTCCATCCTTAAATACAACTTGTCAAGGCTGCAATCGTCTTGATTAAATTTTCCGGGAAAGATATGCGATCGTAACAACAGGGAGCGTCATCAAGCCTCGTGTTTCTGTCTGCCTGTCTTATGATATTTGTGAGAACACACTTCAGATGTTATGGACAATGCCTCGTAATTTGATCAACATTTCATATTGTATATAACCGCACTAAAAGAATGAATCATATTCAGTCAAACATAGTTTGCTTACATTTACCTTCATTGTAATATAAGTGAAATGATGACTGCTTTGATGTTTCCGTGAGAGGCTTCGGGCTCCTTGACTGAGTGAGTGAGTATGGTTTTACGCCGCTATTAGCAATATGCAAAGGACACCAGAAATGGGCTTCACACATTGTACCCGTGTGGGGAATCGAACCCGGGTCTTCAGTGTGATCCCATTAAGCTACCCCACCATTCCTTCGGGCTCTTTGAATTTTATAGACACAATTAAACTGAACATCTTCTAAAGACATTATGCTTTAGGACTGATGAATATACTTTTCGTGCCACAAAACACATTGTCACATACTCTTTTTATCTAAAACGATACTTTGGCTTGTACACTTAATGCTGATTCATTTTTAGAAACTTTATAATTTTATTTTACTTTACTATGCATGGCCTACTCTAAAATTGAACCTACACCTTCAACTTGATTTATGTTTCAATCGTTTACAGCTTCATTTTCAGCTTCTTCGTATGCTGAACCGATTCCGTACTCAGTCACTGGTTTCAAAGTAGGTCAAACATGTCGGCCACTGAGCTATTAAAACCGTATCTGTTGACCTAGTGTCAAATAATTAGGCCAAGTGTTAGTCATGCAAAACTGTTATGAAGCCGTTTTTCTCTCTTGTCACAACATCATTCAGGATGGTCTCACCTCTGCCGCGTCCAGTTCTATTAATTGTGCACAGTAATTTCAGAATCAGCATTTTCGCCTCCTTAGAAGATAGTTCCACAACAAAGGGAGATAATTGCATCTTCACGCCCATAGGGGTACAAATCCGGGTTATCAATAACGTAGCCACAGATGCCAAATGGTACTTTTCAGGATCATTCTTGCAATTAATAATCCAATCAATGAATTGGTTTTCGTTGCTCAGTGTTGGGAGAGCGGCGTATTGCTGGCATGACCCTCAGTAGGACAGTGGGGAAACTGACCAATTCCCCAGAACTGCAACTAAACTGATTTGGATTTCTAGACCGCTTCATTACTTAAATGTAAATTACTCTCGCAATAGAAGGACATCCCCGTCACTGGGACATAGCATCTATTTATCAGGCTTAGTAATGGTGAACCAGTTGAAATTTGGGAACGCCAATTTTCCCAAAGTTGAAGGAAATAGTGTTTATTAATCGATTAGTACATAGTGCCAGGACTGCTTGTATGAGGCAGTGCGTTGCCATCTTGGCGAAGGTGTTATAATGGGGATACTATCCAATTAATCATATCAGGATATCCTAAATCAGTTTAAGAGAATGGTTGGTTATAACGTACTAAGTGAAAATTATTGTTTGTTCATGTTCAAAAAGAGATGTTGTGTGGTAGCCTAGTGGTTAAAGCGTTCGCTCGTCACCCCGAAGACCTGGGTTTGATTCCCCACATGGGTACAATGTGTGAAACCCATTTCTGGAGCCCCCCGCCGTGATATTGCTGGAATATTACTAAAAGCGGTGTAAAACCATACTCACTCACTCAAAGAGCCCGAAACTCTCTCACTCAGTGATACAGATCTTCGGGAATACCAAACTGAAAAGTCTGGGTTCGTTATATCACGATTAGACTGTGCGATAATTGAGCGGTATTAATCAAGGCTCCGAAGCATTCCTTTATCCAGGCTGAGCATAAACCATCAAATCTAGTCAAATATACTGAAACAGTTTCCTTCCAAAATATTCCAATTATCGAAAACCAATACAAAGGCGACCTCTGCAATAGTCCAATGTCTCGCCACTGTGTTCAAGATCAGACTATTATATTAACCAAGAAGTTCGTTTTAGTCAATGGGATGCGACAGGCGTGATTGTTGACGATGCTGTTTGACGCCGTTGGAAATCCGTTACAGTTGCAGCGGCAACATGGTTGTCGTATACCCATATTTCACACTGATATGGGAATTAAAAAGGATGTCCGTTGTAAATAACGTGTCAGTTCTGATGGTGTTTGCAGTACATATAGAATTATCTTTATTTGACGATAAGACAATCGGAAACAGCCTCCCAATAAAATGACCAATGTCTTAGCCGCTATGTTCAGACATCGTTATTCCGAACATGCATACAATCATTTTTAAACGCTGGTCATACTCTAAAACCTGGAACAGTTGTCTACATATTGTAATAGCCAAGTGGTGAAAGCGTCCGCTCGTCATGCCGAAGACCCGGGTTCGATTCCCCATATGGGTATAATGCGTGAAGCCCATTTCTGGTGTTTCCCGCTGTCATATTGCCAGAATATTGCTAAAAGCGGGGTAAAATCATACTCACTCACTCACACATTGTAATGAGTATTATGTGCTGAGCCGGTTGTCCAAGTGTGATCAAATCTACAATAGTGGTATCTATAACACGTAATGGGTGTATTGAAGCGCATCTTACAAACTAAGTTAACTAACTTCTAAGAGAGTATTTGTTGCGGACTTGGATCACGTGAACAAGGAAATTCAATGCAAACAGTCCCGAAACAAGTCCAACTGTTCATGGAGATATTTTCATTGATTATCCTCAGAAGAGTGTTTTGTTCACACTGCTGATTTCGGTATAGAGCCCGTAAGTAGGTCACGGCACTTCGTGAGACCTTAGTACTTCCGGTGACAAACAAGGTTTCATGCCTTTCCGAATGGTCTAAAGGTTGTCAGTTGTCACTGATAATCCTTGCAAGAATAAGAAATTAACAAAACCCTCCGCAAATTAGCCAATTATTACGGCTGTCAACAGCTGTGACACCCAAGCCTGGTAGTATACCTTGTCTGTTCTAGTAAACCCATATTTTGCGATCGCGCAATTTGGAACCAGAACAGGCTAGCTATTCTCCAAACGTTCGTAGCCCTACGAACTTCTTAAGCCCATTCTTAACACATTGGCTACGATCAAAGTTAAGAATGCTTAGAGCTACGAACGTTTCAAGAATAAGGGCCCTGGATCTTGAATATACGATTGTCACCGGAAATCTGGTACCGGAAGTAAGCTGGGCCCCGTCTCGCATATCGCAAGTTGGCGCGCGCAAAGGGAGCCGGGAACGAGCTCAGTACCGAAAGTAGCGCTTCGCAAGACTCACAGGCCCTATTGTGCAGGCATTAGGTTATATCTATCCTGGCCGATATGTTTAAGTTAAAGTTGTGATCGTTAAACGTACATTAGATGTATGACTGTCGGTTCCATTAAGCTAAGCCTTGCATGAGTGATCCGTTAGAGTAATCGATGTGAGATGGATGAATGAGTGATCCCATAGTCTAATGGAAGTTAGATTGTGAATGAATGATCCCTTAACCCAACTGAGGTTAGAATATGACTGAGTGATACGTTTGCCTAATCGATATTAGATTATGACTGAGTGAACCGTTTGCCCAATCGATATTTTATAAATGGGCGATCCGTTTGCCTATCGATGTTAGATTATGACCGGGGGATCCGTTTGCCAAATCGATGTTAGATGTATAAATGAAGTGATCCGTTTGCCTAATCGATGTTAGATGTATAAATGAAGTGATCCGTTTGCCTAATCGATGTTAGATGTATAAATGAAGTGATCCGTTTGCCTAATCGATGTTAGATGTATAAATGAAGTGATCCGTTTGCCTAATCGATGTTAGATGTATAAATGAAGTGATCCGTTTGCCTAATCGATGTTAGATGTATGGTGGAGTGATCCGTTTAAATAATTGATGTTACATGGATGACCGAGTGATTCGTTTTCCTAATCGACGTTAGATTCTGACTGAATGATCCGTTAGCCTTGTCGATGTTAGATGTAGGAATGAGTGTAGCATAATCTGTGTTAGCCCAAACAAAGGAACCAGCCTGATTCCATGTGCGTAATAATAACTCTGTTGAACTATTCTTCTGAATCTGCTGGATACGTAAGAAGATATACCACAACGCATTGGTGTCCTTATAAATATAATTAAGAAGATGTACGGCACACATAAAAAGCATAATACACACACAGTCACACTTGGGATACTTCATACTCAAGTTCATCTAAGTCCTGCAATTCCTTCTGAATTTTGACTAAGTCTGTTTGTAATCTGCGAATCCGCACTCGCCTCTCGTGCTCAATAATCGTCTTTGTACTTTTCAGTTTTGAGAGGGAACGGTTTTTCACAAAAGCCGAGTCAACGTCACGTGACCTGGCGCCATTTTGATTTTGTATTGAAACATCTTCGTCAATGTCAATGAGGGGTTATTTGAGTGCGAACAATTGATATTTGTGGAGTTGTTTTGATTATTAGATATGCTCGGTATAAACAAAGTAGCACCTGTAGAAAACGGACACTCCTCTAAACAGTCCTCATTCTCCTCTATAATTGATGGCTTGGTTCTTGTATTGTTCTTCAAGCGACGCATATTTCTTGGAGATTTTGGCACAAGCGTATTTTCTGAAGTTTTCAACTGTAAATTATTTTTGAAGGATTGTATACACTGAATATCTCTGAATGACAACGCAGCTGCGGGTTTGTCTGTTCGTAGTTCTATTGCACTGTCGCTTCGTCTTTTCGGATATAACTGCAAGCAGGGGCCTTCAGGCGATGCATTTGAAATTCCTTGAAGAATATTGGATCTCTTGGAGCAGGGAGACAAAGGCTTCGGGAGGTTGAGCCTAGGTTTAAGACAATTAGCAGGACCAATACTGAGACTTCGACTTATCCTGCAAATCTTCTTGAGCGCTGATTCAGTTTTGTCGAAGCTGTTACGTTTTTCCACTGGTTGCAAGACTTCCTCCTGTTTAACGGCAGCCGTAACCTCTGGGTTCTCCTCAATTTCACAAGATACAGATCCCCCGTCTGATATTGAACAGCCACTGGAAATATAAATACAGACTACGTATATATACTTGTTGGAAAAATTAAGGGAACGCGTAGCGATTTAGTAGAATACTTACTGTCACGTACAATGATATCAGAGGTCGAATAAAATGGACCTGGAACGGCAATTTCTAGTTAAACAATCTCCAGTTTGTATCACCGTATTTGCGCTTCCATTAATAGCCTTGATCTTTACTTCTGCAGTAGGTATGTTATAAAGGTAAAATGAGGTAGGGGCAAAACATCCGAACGTTTCTCAGGGTTGGATCAGTTAGAGAAAGCAAACTTGTCATAGGGCTACATCCGAATATAGCGGGTCGGAAAACATGAACTTAACTTATCTCTCAGAAACGATATCATATTGTGATTGCTCCTTTGCATAATGTAACTTTACACTAGTCGTATTTAAGTTCGACAGAATTCGTTTGACTCTACACAGAAAAATTAAATTTTCGCAACACTAATTCACGAGTTGTCCCTAAAATTGTTCTGACATCCTTTTCAGATCAAGCCAAAAGGTTACGACAGACCTTGGGCTGAGTCTTTGTCCTTGTCAGTGACCTCACTGTGTTATCTCACCTGAGTAGATCCGCCCTCCGTCGCCGTGTGTCGGGTGTGCCATCCACGGCTGTCTCCGGCAACAGATACAGCAGCTCCTCTGTGAGACGTGGGTAGGGCTCCACCGGCATCTCCAACAACCGCTCCAGTCGCATCAATTCCTGCTCCAGCTGAAACACCAACAGTTTGATTTGGAGCACAGAAACCACGTCTCATAAAATCCCAGGACATATTGAGGAAGCCACTCTCTCGAAGCAATGTCACGCTGAAACTGTCATAAGGTTCCACTGTTTAGGTGGGGTGACCATGCTAGCAATTTGTTTCTCGTATACTCTGTAGAGAGTTCCGCCCCCGTGCTGATTTGATAACGAAAGGACAAATTACGGCGGAGAAATGGTGCGACATTGTAAAGTGTTTCTTTGCAATTTGATTCCTCTGAGTGACAAATCATGATATTAACGTTGTTTTACGCCTAATGAGCCAATGTTATTTTACGCCTGTCTTAGCAATAGGGACGGTGGGGAAGCCTATATATGGTTAAAGCGTCCGCTCATCACGCTGAAGGCCCGGGTTCGATTCCCCACATGGGGACAATGTATGAAGCCAATTTCTGGTGTCTCCTGCCGTGATATTGATGGAATATTGCTAAAAGCGGCGTAAAACCATAGTCACTCACTCACATATAGCAAAATTCCAGAAATACTACGGAGGGCGACACCACAAATGGGCTTCACAGATTGTACCCATGTTGCGAATCGAACCTGTGTCTTCGGCGTGACGAGCTTTAAACACTAGGCTACCCCACCGCCCCTCACACAGTATGTATATGTCATATAATAATACATAACCGTAGAACTACCTTAGACAATTCAAATACCTCCAATTGACAACCTTGTGTCCAGGCAGGTACATGGAAATATTTTAATGATGGCTTTACGTCGGCCTTCTGAAGAAGTTGATGACAGTTAATTGAGTGGATGTTTCCCTCAAGTGCCAGTTATTAAATCATACACGTTTCATATCCAATGCTGTCTTCATCAAGATGCCACTGGTACCCATCGATGGCGAGTGACACTTTTCGTCTGCGGAGGAATAAGCTTTAACAGCGAAACCTCTTTTTCCCTCGACAACAAAATATATTTCGACTGAGCGATAGTTTGAGACAAGCGTTTTGTAGTGTTTATATTAGGACATGGACATTATCCAGGTGCTGCCTGGACAACGAACTGACATCGTCTCGATGTATTCACGTTAAGTGTCCGAGCCAAGGAAGACTAAACCATTCCATAATTCCAGGTAAGTTCGGCTAAAAGCAGACTCCATTGTACAGTTCCGATGATATCATAAGCATGCCTGTTATTAATCACTATTAAAGAGTGATGATGCCAAGCGATCTCCAAAAGGTAAGTGTATCCAGTTCCAACCGGGGGCACCAGTCCCAAAGCAATCAATTCCCGAAAGCTTCATGTTATCATATAGAATAGACCATTATCCCGAACGCCTGTAGGGTATTATGATCTAAATATGGACATTGGTATTGTTAATGGAGAAACATGATACTTTTGCTTCTTCTTGTACATATAAAACTACAAATGGCTAACTATAACAATGCCATACATTTATTCTGCACATATAACTAATGCCAATTAAGCAGACTGGATCCTGAATGTCCAACTGTACCAAGTGACTGTCACACCAAATCAGTCTGATTCCCGTGTGCATGAAGCTTTTATACTCTTTTCAAACACTGTCAATAAAATGGGAAGAACGTTAATGAAAACAATTACCAGACTCTGTTACATATCTAGTCCCTTTGTACCTGGCACTAAGTTAACTTTAAGCTCAACAAAACCAGTCTCGTGAATCTACAGCACTGACTGCTTTCAACTCTATCTGATTCCCTGTGTCATGGCGCTGACCAACTTTGATATTCGGAGTATTTATAACCGGGCTGTTCCTTTCCAAAAATACCAGAAACGAGCTCTCAACAGCTCCGATGTCTCCGGGGCATGTGATGAGAGTGGAGCAGAAGGGGTCGGCTTGACTCAAACGATAACCCCGGATTTTCCGGGAATTATAGATGTCTAATTCCCGCCTCAAGACTGAGAAAATGATGGTGGCGCTGAATATAGCAAGAGTTCAATTCAGTCAGACAGTCTTGTGGCCTATGAGTTTTGAAAAAAAGGAAATCCGAATATGAAAAAGTACCTTGCTATCTTGCTGCCGGTAAGGATTTACAGAAAATGTGTACTCTTATTTTTTCGTTCATTCTAATGACAAGATGTAAGGCAGATATCCGTCAAGCTGTGAGTTTAGTTTTCTGATTCCACTGAGGAGGGTTATCCCTTCTGGAAAATGGGCAGGTTCCAGTGATCAGGATTTTTGTGCCGTCATTTTACTATGACTACTGCCACCACGACTACGACTACGACGACTGCTACTGTGACTGCGACTTCTTCAATAATCATAACTGCCATATTGTACGGTTTGCTTTGGGCATACTTATATTGCTGGGTTATTGTGTCATTCCGCCAAAGGCTTTGTATTAATATTCTTAGTTCCAAGGCAGGTTATATATACCTTGTTGCCTGTTGAACGTAGGTAGAGATCTATTGTCCACCACATGTCCATCTGAACAGTTCAGTTCAGTTTGAATTCTTATAAAGAATCCTCGGTTAAACCAAACTCAAAAGTCTTTAAATAAATTGTATATCGCATTATATGAGAATCTGTAAGCAGGTGACACCGTTTATCAAGACATTCAGCTTTACAATTTAATTTTAGTAATTTTAGTTATTTTACTCTGAGAAAACTGCTTACGAGATGTACATAAATGACTCCGGGACAGATGCCGGCCGGATAGGCGGATTTTCACACCTTGATTTAATTTCATCAGCAAAATCTCAGCGAAAGTTGCAGAAAACATAAAACACACTTTTAGAAAAGAAGTTCAGTTTGTCAATTGACCACCTATTCCATCCAAAATATTTTCGGGGATTAACATAACAGGCTTCAGGGATGGTTGATCTGTTTGATAAATGTGGCGACAATATAGAAATGAGTTTGGTTTAAAGTACAGCTGAACCGTCTGGTGTTTAAGATGTGAAAAGTATGTTTCCCAACCTGTTTAGGTGTTGAGAGTTTTAATGAAAAGAAAGCCGGAAAACATATTAAGTTAGAAATATTACACCCTAAAATTGAATTATGCTTGGGCTTATTCAACATTGGGTATTTTTTCCATATAACTTGGAGTAAAACGTGTAAAAAGTATTAAAAAAATATTCGCGAAATGCGCAAATGATGATGAGAATCCCAGACATTTCATTTTCGAAAATCTATTAATTTCCTTTCTTACGACATTTCAAATATGGTAGGGGTCGTTTGGCTGCAAATTCATATCTTACTTCATTGAACCAATTTATTTTTACACAAAATATTCCAAGCTACAGATTACATTTCGCAATAGTGAGTGATAGCTAAACAGACATAATCAAATTCAACAAATGTTCTTCCGATTTTCAATTACATAAAAATAAACTTGTTCTGCTTTCTTTCGCCTCTCAGTGTACAATATGGACAGCCGGTAAATGAGAACACAGACGGGCAATACGATGGCCCTGTTTGCTTCATAAGTTTCGAGGTCGTTTACATTCCCCAAATGGAATCGACCGATTATATAGAGACTGGTTATTCTCTGGCCTTGAGGTTTTGTTTTGTTTTTTTTAAATTAACTTTGGTCAACAAAGCCAATCATGACATCTGTTTATGTACCTCGTGTATATACCAATCTAAAGTAATGCTAAGTACTCTCTCCGTAGCGTTCTAATATTGACGCACAACACGAGCCACTGTGATACAAAACAGAGAGCAGGAACTAACATACCGATATTTGTCTATGCTGAAATGATTGAACCAATATAAAGGCCATATGTAATAGATTACTAAACGTCACAGAGTTAATGGAAATGTCTGTTCCAATGTGTACAAAAATAAGTACGAGTTCATCCCATTAAGCCTAGTCAAGGTCATCCAGGTCTCTGGTCAGACAAAGGAGCATGGTGGGCGGACAACGTTTGTGTGACCATCCATCAACTCTGTCTGAGAGTTTAATCAGATATGATACGTAGAAAATAGTAACGATTTGACATTACAAGTTTAGGACCATGGTACCTTGTGTTCCTAAACAGAAACTGAATAAACATGTTTCCCTTATTTCATTGGGATGTTGGGTTTGTCAGGTTGTCAAAGCGTTCCCTGGTAACGCAGGATCCGAAGTCCTCACATGGGTAGGATGTTTTAAGTACAATTAGCAAAAGTTCCATTGTCCAATTCCCCAACCATTATGATGACATATACACCAAACTATCATTTAAGTCAGAAATAAAATCACGCCGAAAATGAGTTATGATCAGGTGATTCGCACGATTGCTCCATAACGGAATAGGTCAAAGCGACCTCAATCCTTCAGGCAATTTTTATATAACTGTTATGTTGGTGAGTATGAGGGCTATTTTCGACACTTTTCCAACATGATCACGGCGGGGAACGCCAGAAGTAGGCCACACACACTAACCCATTTGAAGAACTGGACCTTGGCATTTGGTCTGACAAGCCAGTGCTTTTATCAAAACTTGTATATTCAGATTATGATGATATTGTAGTAAAACATTTCCTCCTACCAACATGATGTCTCTAACCGTGCATAAAAGTGTTGGAACTCACGACAAACCATTGGAATCGTTATCACCAACGACAATAAGATTGTTTACAGCGAAGCCTTTCAAAAAGTCCAACATCAGTATCCTGACATATCAGTTGGGACTTCGGGTTATTTGTCTCCTCGGTACAACATCAACACTGTGCTTGCTACGAACAATAGTACACTCGATACATATTCTGCAGGGTTTCCATTTATACCAGTGAGTATGGTTTTACGCCGCTTTAGCAATATTCCAGCAATATCAGGCGGGAACACAAGAAATCCATTTAACGAGGAACCACTGCAACTTTCATGATAGTATTACCAGTTGCCGGTGTTTGTTCGCTGTCCCTGGAGTATATCATTTGTACATGTATATATAACTGCAATATATGTACATACTATTGCGCATTAGCTTCAAGCTCTCCCATTAACGTCTGAATGCTTACAGCAATGCATCTCGAAACATCTTGAACAGTTCTGAAGCTGATCACTTGAAAGAAGCCGACATATTTCTCAACCTGAACAATTCATTATCACTGCACCATTTCCACGACATTCGAAAGAAGCATTATATAAACGCAAATTAAATTACAAGTTGTTGACGTGACAGACTAATTACCCTGCACCAGACAGCCATTGGATAGAGGCTTGAGGGAAAATAAGACGAAACCATTGAAGGCTAATGCCGAGAATGTGAATTTTATTTCTGATTTCGCTCTTGGGGTAACCTGAGAAGATAAAAGGCTGTCAAATATAGATTCTTTGACCTACTGTCAAATACCAGAGATATGTAAGACTACAACCCCCCGGGCAGGATATATATAATGAGATGGTTGAAACCACTGAGTCACGTATATATCATTTTGCATTATGGGGAAACAAATCATCGCCCAAGATAGTTTCTAATACGTGTTGTGTGAATCACATTAAGTCTGAACGACTGAACAGCGGGAGTGTTAAAATTCTAGCGAGTTTGTCGTGATGTCAACCGATAGCAAGTGCGAATTTGTTGCTACTTTTTAAATATTAAAAATTATACTGAGAGAAACAAATAAGGCGTTCCTTTAATATTTTCCGGTTTCGATCAGCAGCTTTGAATAGCGATGCGGGAGGAAATATGAAAATAAAGGAACACCATGAAGGGTTGTTCCCTTATTTGTTTCCCTCAGTATATTTTTATTGTTTGTTTGTTTCTTGGGATGAATTGTGCTTTGAGTGTCACTGGTTTCAGTCATAAGGTCAGTGAATGATTACGGTTTTCTTTATCAGCCCGGATCTTCGGTAAGGAGAATAAGTACCTTCACCACTATCTTTCGAGGGATTAATTTGGGAGCAGGGGACTACTATTTTCCGTCGCTGCTTTATTATTGAAAAATGATACACCACTGAAAGTACATTCCAACTGATTAAACATATATACCTGACACAATCAGCTTAAGCAACCAAATGAACATGTGATACATTTTCTCGACTTTCTGAAAATCTAACTCACATCAGGATGACCGAATGAAACCAAGCACATATCAAATTGAGCCAGTGTGTTGTTGGCAAACATTCATCAGACGAGACTATAACACACACAGACCGGGTCCAGTGTTTACCTCTATCATCTCCCGTTTGTACACCCGGTTCTGTACTTCCGCCCGGTAGTAAATCTCCTTCCGGTCGTCAAACACGAACCGCCTTGTGTTGGCTTCCACAAGGATCCCGGAGGACGCGATGACCGGGTTTCCTTTGGACGACACGATGACATAGATCTGTTCATACATGAAAACACACATTTAATTTACGGAAAGAAAACGGTGGTCAAAGGTTCAGCTCAGACACTGATCAGGGCCTAGATTTTCGAAGCTATCTCAGCGCTAAGATAATGTAAGTTAATGTTAATGTATGGCACTTACGACTATCTTAGCGCTAACAGAGCTTCGAAAATCTAGGCCGAGGCCTTGACCAGCCTGAGATGATCAGACAACACTTTCAAGAAAATCGTGTATATCAAACAAGTACCGAAAACATTGATGACCTTTCATGAGACTTTCATATTCTTCAGACGATTTATTTAGTGAATATAAATTATAACTACGTTTACTCAAAAGTTAAAGACTACCTTTTCTTTCATACGTTTGTAATAAATATGTCATGCAATGAAAGATTATTTGTTTTGAAGAGCAGATTTGATGGAAAAGATTCATTTAAGCGAAATAAATGAAATTCCTAATCGATCATAGTGGCATATACATCAACAATATCAAATTGCTTAACAATGACAATGGTTTGTATTGGAATGTGATTCAGTTATTTAAAAGAGGAAAATAAAAGGTTAAATTTACGCAGTTTCATTTTGGAATAACGTTTGAAACAAAACTCCGTAATGGCCATAGTAGACTGTGCCTAGTCGAACAAACTGGGTTCTCAAATGCCAGACACTCATTGCTATTATGGGTACCTAGTATGGATGGGAAAGCCGCAATAACTTGGTGCGCCTAGTGGCTGCAAGAGTTTTATGCTCCCCAGGGATTTGAGATTGATAATAAGATGTGCCGTTGAGATTGACATCCAATGATCGAAGGAAAAAACTACCAGCGCCTTGAGCATGTGCGTGGATATGTGCACTATATAAATATCCAATAATAATAATTATTATTATTATCACTGACCGTTTTGCATTCCAGTCGATAAAGGTACCTTGACTCGAATCTGTTGTCGAGCTCACTTATAGTTTCTATATTTTGGAGAATATATATTCTTGTATTCAATTGTTTTTTCGTTACCCTACCCCCAAGCGCCCTGGGTCTCACCTTGGGTACAAAGAGTAAACACAGCGTTACTGTCGTGGACAGAAACATGAGAGATGACTCCATGGCATAGGCGAGTGTGGGCTGGTTGGAGAGGATGTTGGACAGCACGACGACGCTGATGCTCATGATGACGACGTTGTACACGTTCATGCCGATGTACTGCGAGTCGTTGAGGGCGGGTATCTTGACGTTCCGGGTCTCCCAAGCCATATAAACCCCGAAGATGAGAAGCAAGCCCTTGTATGCGTAGAATCCTCCCATCCACTTCTCCAGGTGGTGGGAGTGGCATGTGGTCAGCTGGTGGAGATACAGGAGATCTTCGTCATCCTGGGATGCCTGAAACATTAGTCAGTGGATATTATTTGATTCTGTTTTGAAATATATGAAGGACTAAATAAGTTTTTCGCTATTCACTTTGTACAATTTTCAGGATTTAGCTATAACCAGGGGATGTGACTCAAACACCTAACCAAAACTTGTTTTGTGTTCTGATTTGACTAACATTTTGTGCTTTGAGTGCCCCGTTCGGCTGTAAGGTGTTCGGAACTTTTATACTTTAACATAGGCCTGCAATTGTCGTATGTAGATAACCTCGTTGAATGGGACCGTGGTTTTGAATTACCTGTAATGTCCATACGTGGACAGACCAATTGCAAGTACGAGATCGTAATTGTGAGTAACAATTTGAATTTGTGTTCAATCATAATTTGTCAGTTTGATGTTTGAGGAAGTTATGCAGATCTTAGACGTGATTTTTACATGAAACGAACGAGCAAAGACACGGTACTGATTAACCTGGAAACAGGATGAGGACGAACTGGGATTCAAACCCAGGAACACAGAATCTGCCACACCTAAAAGCTGCGAAATGAGCCGCTTGAAAGGTCGCACGGTCTGTAGGTTAGTTTGAACATTTTTACGGAGCTCTTTTAGTTTTGTTTAACGCAGCACTCAACAATATTCCAGCTATAATCGAGTCTGGACCGAACAATCCCGTGATTGACATGGTGAACATCGATCTACGCAATTGGGAAACAATGACATGCAGCGTGCCTGACAACCCGGTTCCGTTTTTCGTCTCTACGACAGCAGCTGAATTCACGGGTACCACTAAGAGGTAGTGGGTACGGTACACCAATAATACCGACCCAGCTGTGAGGAATTCCTCCGAGACGACCATTCATTCTAATAAGATCATGAACCTACAACCGTTGTAGCCATCCGATTCTCATTTTACACGATATATAGATTTGTGAATTAATGTAATGAAATGTTGATCCCTGGCGAGCTTGTCTACTGTGCGTTTCTTTCTTATCATTATTTTCTATCAGACCTTTGAAACAAATGTCACGTATGGATTGACAATGAGCTAAATGTCCACAGTACTTTCTTCCTTCCCACACAGAAAACCCGAAACGTATCACCATGTGGACTGTGCATATAATATTACATTATGACTATCCCTCCTGGAACAACCCCTCGTCTGATATTACTCCGTTCCAAAGAGCAATGTTCTTATCAAAGAAAGCTGAAAGACAACCAACGGAAGCCATTGGGCCAATTTGCCAGGTGTTGATATTTATAATCGTGGCCTTTTCGTCTAGTAGAAGGCACTTCTACACAAACATTGGCGCATGTTTCCCAAGCTCATCCTGAGGGTCTAAAGGAGAGGTTTGTTTGTAATGGCCATTGAGTGATCTGGTCATCACTGGCTGCATTCGGGCCAAGCACGTGGATCCCACGATGGGGGCTTTCATGTCCAAGAAGGTCATTTAGATTTCTAAATTGGCTTTATTGGCAAAAAATCTAAAACGAAATAAGGATGTTGACACAATTCCAGCTTCCAACTCTGAGCGACCTGGGAGTGAGCCCTTGACGTAATGGACCCCTAATCGGAGGCACCAAGAGTCGGAAGCCAAACTGAAATCAATTTGTAGGATTCAACTCTTGGCGTTTCAGTGCTGATTAAATCTTAAGCCGAGGCTGAGCAAACACGGTTGGAGTAAAAAGTGTTTTGAAACTCTCTTGTGAGGCATCTGCCTCTCATCAGCACCTGGTGCTGTGAATGGTGATGTTAGACGGTGTACTAGACAAAACCCCACGCTGTCTACGGGTCAATGGACAGAAAAATGGTGTCAGTATCTGCATTGTTCTCAAGATGAAGACGTCGAATTCTATTTTCTCAGCGTTTACACGTCGCCTCTGTCAGATATCGTTACATTTGTAATGCGTCTTTCATGTTCTAATATACTCAAGAAATTGGATCGTAAGAACCTTCAGGGTATTGAAACTTCGATTATCTGTTATACAATACTTGCCATTACATGCTTGATTGTGAGCGCTGGAATCTTGTTGGGCCACTCAACCAGTCAGTAATATACTGTAATTAGGCCGATTCAGACGTCAATACATACGATGAACACTATACCATAGATATACCATTTGAACGTTTAGAAACCCCATGAGTTCATGTTATTATGTTATTATGGCATTCAATGCACATATTTGTATGTGTAATGGACAATGTTACAGTAAGCAAGCTCTTTGATGACATTCGTTCGAGTTTCATTTAAGTACATATCTCTGTGTTTCACTCATGCGGTGGAGGAGAGACACAAGTAGATCGGAATATTATAACAGACAAAACCAACGAACCCACACTGACAAGGTTCATAAACAGGATGAATGCTTCATCAAGATCAGCGGATCTTGAGTGGGTCAGGAAGAGTGAGTGGGTCAGGATGAGTGAGTGGGTCAGGAAGAGTGAGTGGGTCAGGAAGAGTGAGTGGGTCAGGATGAGTGAGTGGGTCAGGAAGAGTGAGTGGGTCAGGATGAGTGAGTGGGTCAGGAAGAGTGAGTGGGTCAGGATGAGTGAGTGGGTCAGGATGAGTGAGTGGGTCAGGATGAGTGAGTGGGTCAGGCAGAGTGAGTGGGTCAGGATGAGTGAGTGGGTCAGTAAGAGTGAGTGAATTTGAGTGAGTGGGTCGTGTTTTACGCCGCTTTAGCAATATTCCAGCATCACTCCAGAAATTGCACCCGTGTGGGGAATCAAAACCGGGCCTTCGGTGTGACGAGCGAACACTTAAACCACAAGGCTACCTCCACTCCTACACGACTGAGATGTGTACCTCCGAACAGCCTGGTACGTCTATGAAGGGGGCGGTGGGTTAGCCTAGTGGTTAAAGCGTTGGGTCGTCACGCTGAAGACCTGGGTTCGATTCCCCACATGGGTACAATGTGTGAAGCCCATTTTCTTCGTCCCCCGCCGTGATATTGCTGGAATATTGCTAAAAGCGGCGTAAAACCATACTCACTCACTGACTCACTCTAAGAAGGCTAACATTGTCCTGAACCACAGTGGTTTATAATTCCACTACAATAATATAAGCAGTCTAATTGTTTGCCTGTTTTGAGACAAAACCAGGCATGGCCTATCCAATAGACACACATATATTATTCATTTATTTGCATACTGACTCTTTAAACACAAAATTAAAATTTAATCTCAACTTTATAACATAAACAATTTAATTGAACGTAATCAACAAATACAACCAAGCAGGCTGCACAGCACAAATAAATACAGAGAATGTCGGTAAACACATCGTTATATATACTATTACATATATATTGTATAAATGTATACAGATTGATTGCATAATTAACAAAACCAGGACCAGTTCCACAAAACGATCTTAGCGCTAAGTTTATCGTTAAATTCGTTAACACAGATTTATGATCAGTGTAGTGCTAAGATCGCTCTGTGGGACGGGGCCCATTGCCAGGTTAATACAAAAATGGACTTAAGGTTAAATTTATGGAACGTAAAGTTCAGAAGGTTTGAAAGATGAGACCGCTATGTCTGGGAAGGGAGCTGTGCTTGTACAATGATAACTGTAGGTGGTCAGATTAATGCTAGATCTCACTGTCTGGTGCTCTGGAACCTAAATGGACAGAACATGTTCTCCACATCGTAAACATTACGTTTTGTCCACATTATGTAAGATCGTGCATGTCCCGATGAATATATCGGTAATCTCCGTCAATGCTCCTTCACCCTTTCAGACGGCGAATATCGATTCATTGGGATCATTCCTGATGTGTATTGTAAGCTGAGCAACGATCTCTAAGCCATTATGCTGTATTGGTACAGTTGAGCTGACGTCATGTTCTTGTCCAAGTGCAAAAAGGTCAATGAGGTTTTGATAAAAATGGGGCTGATTCACGGCCTTCGCTGAACGATCCATCAAACTTATAATGCATTTAGCACGCATATTGGGTTTTTGTTCGACTAATATGTGCTTAAAGACACGCACACATCGAGTATTTGGTATCATCTGAAACAGACTATGTGTAATTTGGGTTGTAATCGAAACTAATGGTAACTTTCCCGCAGGTCGAAGTTTAGGAACATTTGTTTATTAATAATAATCATTCGTGAAGTATGTGATTAGGTTTATGTATATGTGGATATTTAAAGAGTATATATGTCAAGTTAAGATGTGTGGTATAAGGAATGGTCACAAGCAAGAATTAGGATATGAGAAAAAAAAGAATGCAGTGAAACCTGCCGACACCGGCATCTGTCTAATCCGGCACACTGTCAAACCGGTATAAAACTTTAGTTCTGCAATTTCACAGCGATATTATGATCTTTAAAACACTGTCTAAACCGGCACCTGTCTATTCCGTATTCCGGCACGGCTTTCCGGTCCCAAACGCTTTTCATGAAACATAGTAAGTGAAGTCGGATTTGATATGACCTGTTAAAATAATCAAATATGGACAACGCAAACCAATTTTGAAACGATACAAGACCTGACCCTTTTAGTCTGTGAGTCGGTTGACAGGCGACCCGTAAGGATCCGGGTTAGAATTGGTCTTCTGTAAGCCATGCTTGTCGTAAGAGGCGACTAACGGGATCGGGTGGTCATGCTTGCTGACTTGGTTGACACATGTCATCGTATCCCAACTGCGAAGATTGATGTTCTTGCTGTTGACCACTGGATTGTCTGGTCTAAACCCGATTATTTACAACAGACCGTGGCCATATAGCCTGACTGTTGATCATGTGGATCACCGGATTGTCTGGTCCAGAGTAGAATATTTACAGACCGCCGCCATATAACTCGAATATTGCGGAGTGCGGCGTAAAACTAAACTCACTCCTTCCTCAGCGTTAAACAACAAACAAACGAAAACGGTAGATAGCCACGTACCTCTTGTGTAAGGTTGGTGATACGCCGCTCCATTGGGTCCACCAGCACCCAAACAAAAACAACCGCAGAATCAACTATAAGGAGGGCTCCAATAATGAACAGCAGATGCTTGTCTTGAAGCAGCTGAAACATACACAACATGATGCTCAACAGTCCCACTGTAATATCATTAACAGTACAACAAAAGCAACGGTGTTCTTAATACTTTAATCTTCCCAGAGCAAAAATGCGTCTAAAATAATGTTCAAAACAATAAACTTCTTCGAAATAACTAGCGTTACATTACATGATAACGTTCATTACATGATTACATTACATGATAACGTTCATTACATGATTACATTACATGATAACGTTCATTACATGATAACATTACATGATAATGTTCCGTGATTGTTTGTTTAGTGGTTATTACGCTGAATCTTTTTTATCGTTCACAATCAAGACCATCGCGGGATACACCAAGAATATGTCCACACTATCAATGGGAATCGAAGTTGGATGTTTTGCCGCGAAGAACTGAACTTTGACCTTCCATTCTTTGACCCTTTATGGACCCCTCATGGATCAGAAAAGCAAGATTTATGGATGTCAGCTTCTTTATTGTCTCAACAAAAACCTTGACATCCATAAATCTTGCTTTTCTTATGTGTTCCACTTCTAAAAGCCCTTCAAAGATTTGATCTTTTATCTCCAACAAATCCTCGGTTTGTCTTAATTATTTCACATAAAGACAAAATATACGCGAGCATGTATAATGTTTTATGCCAAAGAGCTTTTGCAGATATACCATGGCATGCAATGACAGGAACTGGACCAGGTGAACCTGTGACTGTTGTGATGAGAAAACACCAAATCAACATCCGATTCCCATTTTAATAAGTGAGGTAATCAAACTTTAAACATGGGGTACTGGAGATGTTTTCCTTCGGACACAGTTCGGGATAGTAACACTGTACAGTCATGTCATCTCAACCATCATCTATTATTTGGTGTGACGACGACAACCGAGACAAATTATGAACCAAAATACCTCAATCATCACAGTCGGTGAGACTTGTCTTGTCGAAGTCGTGTCGGACACTCGACAATGTCAAATGTAATTAGGGTTTTACCTTGCTCTTGACGAGTCCGCTGTTGGCTCTGGTGAAGATCTGATGTACTCTGTAGGTCTTGGCAAACATGGCACCAAACGCCAAGGAAAAACCAGCAGCTAGAAGAAACGCTCGTGTCTGAAGACAGAAATACATACGTTAATGGTAACTTCAAAATTTGAAAGTCGAAACCATCAAATCTGTCTTTTATAATACAGAACCATATCTTCAGTGATGTCGTTTTTCTTTTTGTCTGTCAAAGACTATTCGGACTAAACTGAAAGATCCTCAAGCTTTATTCAACAACCAGAAAGTTTACAATATTTGAGTGGTATGTCATGATAGGCCCGCCTGTTGTGCCCCGCCGTGATATTGCTGGAATATTGCTAAAAGCGGCGTAAAACCCACCTCACTCACTCACTCATGACAGCCCCGAGTGTCTGCTCTTCCACGTATGCACCTTAGATGTGAAACAACGATTACAGTGCTATTCTGAAGGCCCATAAATTATGATTAGCTGAATACGAGATTCACATCCACGACGGACGGATCCTGACAAAGCTAAGGGAGACAATTGTGTTTGGCTAGTGTCATTGCCTTCAACCAGAGTGCTATCCGTGACCCAAATGTCAAACCAAACCTGCAAATATTTATGTGGTGTTAAATGATGAGATAATTGTATGATTAAAATTATGTCATTCATGCTTCATTATAAACCATCACCTGTCTTCGATTTTCTTCAAATGCAAGGAAACATTTACATTGCTCCATAAACGCGGTCGTGTTTCTGAGGCAAATCAAAGACAGGCCAATGTAACGTGAATGTATGTCATAAAATATTTATATTGCCTTTTAGAGCGAACTAGCGCCGGACATCCTAACGCAAATTATTGCAATTCAATGACGCGTCCTTTTGGAGAATTCAGTTATTTAGTCCAGAAATCCCTACATCAAACACTCTAGTGGTAACGTTCACATAAAAGCGTGGTAAAAATAGCCACTAGCAGCACCAAAAACCACAAAGTGCCATATTCGTGCAAGTGTGAATGTATAATCTGACAGTATTCAGCGCCAGACTATGAATAAATAAAATATACCATAGTGCAAATATTTTATCCCTTTCACTTGTGTGAGTGTTTACATTGTTTTATCCGAAACGACATGGAACAGCGGTGTTGACAACTCGCTGACATTAATTGGACGTAGACTGATATTGGTCTAGACATGCTATTGGGGTAGTTTATAAACTCATCGCCACTGTTGACTGACGTGATAAAAAAGTCATAAATTGATGGATGGGCGATGCAGTTGAGATTTATACGTGCGCTTCAATTAACGCCTGTCAACGGGGCACGCTTCGACGTTGCGGTTCGACAGCGCGTCTCCGTGCGCTGACCCGACTAAGGTAGTTTAGAGCGGTTCGGCAGAGAAATCAGAAATGGTCACATGAGTTTATTTGGTTTTTGTGTGTTTGTTTTTGTTCTTTAAAGCCGCACTCAACAACAGTCAGGCTATATGGCCACGGTCTGTTGTAAATGATCGGGTTTAGACCAGACAATCCAGTGGTCAACAGCAAGAGCATCAATCTATACGCAATTGGGATACGATGACATGTGTCAACAAAGTCAACGAGCCTGACCACCCGATCCCGTTAGTCACCTCTTACGACAAACATGGGTTACTGAAGACCAATGCTAACCTGAATCTTCACGGGTGTAGTCACATGGAAACCAATTAAAGAGAAGGATTAAAATGTAAGAGTGCTTGCAGTCAAGACGTGTAATTCGACAATAACGGTTAACTGCGCAGACATGGGGTGTGTCTGTACATTTGTACGATGTTACGCAAATTTGCATAATACAGTCTATGTTTATTTGAGCAACAACTATAAGAAATTAGGATCAGGATATGTGTATGTGTTGAATAAGTCAGGAATATTGACATGGCGTTGATAAACCAAAGATAATCCTGAGTACGAAGTTTGGTTTCAAACCCATGATATTTGATTCTTGAATTGACTAACCGGCTCATTTCTACACTGTGAATCCCCATAGCTACATACGTAGTGCAGACACGCAGAAGAACAGCATGATCACCATATCCCGCCTTGGGGCAAATTAGAATTTGATTTTGTAGGTCAGTGGTGATAATGAAAACCAAATGCAGTGCAGAACGGATTCACATAATCAAAAACATTGAGAAAGAGAGCCAACTACGAAACATCCCTAAGGACACCGCTCTTACTTCCGGTATATTTAAGGTTATAGTGCTTATCCAATGAAAAATCATGCCTCAGTTTTAACAGACACATGACACATTTACAGACACGTGACACCTTGCTTAATAGAAAATTGAGTAACGGCTTCGAGAAGGGCACCCATTCAATATGCCAGTAAGTTCATGAATGATCATGAGTGATCCAAAAACAGATTGCGAAGTACATTTCCTGATGCAGCTCGGACAGACTCTCTTGGGAGACTTGGACAATCATGTAGACTTATGTAGGCGTACATACATGTCGACACATATACAGGCGAGGCCCACAGTGCCTCCTTCCGGGGGCGTCATGACATGTCAACTGTGGACCTGACATCATAATTGGACTGTATACAGAGATGGATGACTTACACCAGACAGTGTGGAGGAGTTTGCACATTGATACATGAGAACGGGCTCTTCTTGATAATGAAGCATCTGGCATGTCTTGTATACATGTACACGTTGATGGAGTCGGTGATGTCACTCTCAGCCTGAGGGTATGAGGGCGTATTCAGTAATTCTTCATGTGCTGAATACGTAACGACTCGTAATCTCCAACATTGTATAGAATCATCTTGTTTACCTCGTCATAACTGAATCGTCATTTTGAGAACTTGATTGTATAGTGAAGTAAACAGTTAGGAGGTAGAAGCAGCTGAAGTACCTTGTCATACATGTAAATGCAGTTATGATGCCCAGTACACAGAAAAGGGAAGAGCAGGTAGGCGAATGAAGTTCTAATACAAAAGTGACGGTAGAATGTGGGCTGGGGTGCAGTGTTTGCAATACCTTAATTTGCCCGTTGGCTATCAGGGCCTGCCGCCGCCTGAAGGCTTAAAATCTACAGGCCCTGAGTGAAATCTGCAGGCCCATTTTGTTAAAATCAAACCATTAAATACAAAATAGACTACACTGTACACAGTTTCACACTGTTTCAGTTAGCGAAGCCTATGGCGCTAAAAGACGTTTTTATTTGTTAAAGACTGGTGTTGACATTCCTACGCGCAAAGCGCTGAAATACCAGATTCCATATTCAAGTTGGAAAAAAAAGAAAACATTGACAGATAATTTACTGAAGGCTTCAAGGGCCTGCAAATATTTGAAACTGCCGGCCCGATACAATAACAACTGACGCTGCGCCTCCGGGCCGGCGATTATTTCGAACGCTGCTGGGGTGGTGGTGGTGGGGATGAGTGGTGTAATGCCTGACAAGTTTAAGACGTAGCTACACACAGAAAGATTGATTGATTGATTGTTGTTTAATGGCGCACTGGGCAACATTCCAGCTCTATGGCAGCGGTCTGTACATGTTCTTGACCAGACAACCAAGTCGTCGAGCCTGACCACCCGATCCCATTAGTCGCGTCTCACCACAAGCATGGGTTACTGAAGGTCAGTTCTAACTAGGAACTTTACGGTTTCAACGAAAAGAAAGAAAAAAAACAGACGTGACGCACCGTACACATAAAGGGGAAAGGAAATAGCCATGATGCTCCGTACACACAAAGAGAAGATAGGAATCTACAGTCGCGACGTACCGTACACACAAAGGGAAAGATGTGCCAGTCCAGTGTGGCGTCGTCCATGCCGAGGAGGATGACGGCCGAGTAGACGAGGATGCAGCCAGCCACAGCTACGTTGTTAAGTTTGGGGCTAGATAACTTGATGTAACTGGAAACAAGAAAACATGGTCAAGACATGCACAGATATCCATATGCTCAGATCAATGTTGGCACCAGACGGAAGGGGCAATGGAAACGCAGTATCTCCCATTCCGTATTACAACTACAGTTACTTACAGGGTTTATATGAAAACATAAATTGGACCCACCGCACTAATGTACGCTCCCATTGTTTTCCGTTCTAGTATCCGAAACAGACAGTATCCATTCTCAGTCGCCAGTGCAACGATGTAACGTTTTGCCAAATTCGTGTGTAGAAAATATGCAATAATTATTGTATGTTCTTCCAAGAAAACATTATAGGTTTGTGCTAGCTTGACGTATGCCGACTGCCTTGCACAAGGCATACACCACTAGAGTGGTCATTATAAAGAAACACCATTGGAATTTGCATGTATGAACTTCAAATTGCATTTTGATTACCAACTCTACCGAAGCGCGTGTCATTCCTTGGTCAATGGAAGGATTTCGCTCACGATATTCAGTGTGCGTTTTTATACTTCCGAACCTTAAAGGTGTGAAAAGGTCGTCTTGATTTATCGCTAATAGTGAATTTAACGCACCTGTTTCCAGCCATTATCAACCATTACCAAAAGCTGCAGTGTTCAGAATTATTCATTTATGCGTGTCACTTTTGTCTCTCCCGTCGCTTCTTTTCACCACAGTACACGTTTTGCTGCCATCACTGCCCTGCGCCGTGAGTCGTTATATGGGCGTTTAATAATGATGCCTGTGAATTTTAAGAATTTAGAATTCTGTCCAAATGTACAGAGAGTTCAAGCTTTCAGATTCATACACCACAATTAACTCTGAGAAGAAACGTAACAACTGAGAATTCTTGACAAAAGACGTTTTTGTCATGCTAGCATATTTCTAGATAATTAAAACTAACGGCCCTGACCACGGTACCAGACATGTCGGGGATTATTCGTGTTTTCTGTTCCTTGCAACATATACCCTAAAGGACAGTTTTAGCCAATTTCAAAATGCGTGCAAGTCCGCCATTAATCATAAGCGCTACGGCTTTCAAAAGGTAATTTGAAAATGTCAGCGATGGACGCAACTAAATATGATTAATGTTCTTTCTTTTGTAAAATGTGCACCGAATGGAGGAAAGATGGTTGGTCAAGCGCTGTGATAATGATCAGCCTTATCAAGTCTTCCAAGAACTCTCAACGGGTCTCGCTGACCTCGTGCCGACTGTGCACGTGCAAGGCGTGCCAGGTCGGAGTCTAAACTATCTAATATCTCATCTTAGTCAACATTGTTAGATGCTAATATAAACATTGTATAAGAAAGGTTCCTATGCCAGTACTCTCGAGAGAATTATATCCTTTAACATGGCCAATTCAATCAAAGAAAATTTCTGATAGCGCCAAACCCCGTCTCATCAATTTGATTTCATATGCGTGTGATTTTGAGAAGTGATTTGAAAATACTCCTTTTTCAAATACAAAACTCTGATGGTAGTTAACACGATTGTTTTGCGTTGTGGGAAATCACGTTCTTCGGGTCTGTTAAGCCTATAGTGATTTGATTACAGAGAGACCTGAGAATTGCATCTCTAATGATCAATAATCCATAACGCGGTGCTATCGCCCAGCGTACATACCTTCAGACCAGCAGAGGAATAGCGGTTAGTCACATCCATGGAAAACTCGATTCCAGCATAACAAGGGAATCTCTAATTTCTTTGATCCTGTTTTTAACGGAATGTAATTTGAAATTATTCGGTTCTGCCATTGAAGGCCAGCATGTAACAAAACCTCGAAAGAAGATCGTCTTCTTTCACAAAGTTAATCACTACGCCAAGTAACTGTTTCGCTTTTTGTTCCCAGCGCGTTGATGTTTAATGAACAGACAAGATGCGTGAAGATGATTATACTGTGTGTTTATGGGCGATAGAGTGAAGAAGAGGTATCAATCATTGTAATTTAAACACGTACATGTTTCAATCCGATCAGTAAAATCACTTTTATTTTGCAATTGTTTTAGCTTAGCCGCAGTGGAGTGTGACAAGGAGCTGTTCTGACACTGAGGGGCGACAAAAACAAGGAAAGAGAGTTTTCCATTCAATCAGTTTTGCTGGTTTTCATTAATCAGATAGGAACATCCGCACCGAATGTCTCCGTATGACAGATTATCATGCTCTTCTTTAACAAATCATTCTGTTTGAGTTTTATTAATGGCGTTTTAGGCAAATATACGAGTCGGCCGCAAACAGTAATTGAACGTTTAGCAATGTATCCATTAGACCAATTATCAAATGTGAAGTTGAACTGACGGTTTTTCAAGTTTTAGGAAGTTAAAGACAATTATAGAGGTATTTTGTGTTAATACAGAAATCAATAGAATTTCAAAGAAAGTAATAGGTGAACAGTTGAATTGAAAAACCTTTGAATGTTGTTTGTACGCACTTTCATTATGAGGTTGTTCATTTAGTTCCATAGCGTATCGTCACAGATGAGAGTTAAATTTACGGTGGCACCATATCGTGAACTGAACCAGTTGTTATATCTACAAACATGTCATAAACTCAAACTTGTATTTAAAATCAATTGCATAAAACATATTTCAGAATAGCAACATTATTTACAGATGGTTTAACTTTAAACACTGCTGCCAGTTAGTAAACAAGGATGTCTTGCTGACTTACGTCATAATAAACATAGGCACACACACACACACACACACCCCACCCCCTATTGTTTTGTCCTGAAAGTTTATTAAATGATCATTGAAACTCGTGAAAATGAGGTGTGCACCCCTCCTTTCTTAAGAGTGTGACCCACCCCTACCACCGCCCCCTCTTTCTCAAAAAGCTGTATCCGCCCGTGATGAACCCTTTGACCGGTTGGTTCTCATTTCGATACTTTGCAATACGCCTACATCCCAACTCGCCTTCACTAAGTACTGTAGGCGAATAGGGACGGTATAACACCTCTTTGAAAATACTGAGCTCGTCTGAGAATATGTTTCAAGAGCATTGGAAAGATGAATTGAATTGTTAACATGAAACAAGAAGTCTAGAGAAGTATATGTGCGTCAATTCAACATTCTCAAGACATTGAGATTGACCACATTTGGAGTAGAACTGTCAACTGACTTTGAGGTTGCTGTTATTTGTGCCATCCAAGAAGTCTTTCCAGATTCAGACGTTCGCGTATGCCCCTTCCACTACACTCAAGCCTTGCTGCGTCATGTCTAAGCTAGTGGACTAGTCTATTTTTACCCTAGGGGTGACAAAATCAGCCCGAAGCGATGCATGCCTCAGGGACCGGCTTCATAAAACGCTTTCAACCCTAGGACTGTCAAATCTATGTATAGGGGTTATGACATTCGTAGCACAGCGACCCCTTTGGGAAACGGGGCTCCAGAGGTTTTAGTACTTTGATGAAACCCGAGAGCACGTGTATGGTGTTAACAAACATAAACGGGGTGAAGTGGGATTTAGCCTGCACAGCCAGGACACCCGTGCCCATATAGCCTGCAGTAACTGGCATACATACATTCATGGAAAAGAGATGAATACAATAAAAGGCACACACGGCAACGTATGTAAATAGAGATGTTAGATAAGATACATTCAAATAGAATTCGAGATAGTCTGGGTTACACAGTACCGACCACCACGTTGTACCATTATAACAGTATAAAAGGACGTCTTGCTGCTACCAGACAACATCTTTGCAAAACGTGTAGTCATAGAATAGGTCTTAAGCAACTCATGCTTGACGTAAGAGGCGACTAACGGGATCGGGTGGTCAGGCTCGCTGATGTGGATGACATGTCATCGGTTCCTGATTGCGTAGATCGATGCTCATGATGTTGATGACTGAATTGTCTGGTCCAGACTCGATTATGTACAGGCCGCCGCCATATTGCTGGAATATTGCTAAGTGCGGAAGGAAAGCTCGAAATGACATTCACCACTTAAATAAAATCCACGTCCACATGTATGATGGAGACAAACTTAGATATATAATCTGGTCCGTTATAGGAACTGCAACCTGTAGCGCCATTGACGCTTGGGTCGCATCGGGCACGACATTCGACTGTCTGTACAGTGTACAGAACTGTACAGATGAGCCTGCCCTACTTACCGGAGTTTCCTGTGGTGGAGATTAAACGTGAGAAACAAAATGGCGGCTATGACTCCAAAGCCACACAGGACGCACGACACGTAGAAGAACAGTGGATCGATGGTCTTCTGGCTCAGCCACACGATCTTCTTGTCCCGTGGGACACGCCCACCTGTGGGAAGACAGACAAGTGAGGATAACTGTTAAAGTAACCAGTTTAAAAAAATGCTGGCACTCACAAAAAATGTGTAATTTTGGATTGTAGACCGCTCTTAACAGTCGGTGGGTTTTGGTGTAAGGGGGTTGGGTGCGTGTTTTTGTGTCTAAATAACTAAATAAATGCAAACTTAAATCATCCACCGTCTTCGTATGACCTGGGAAAAAATGTTTATAATGAGACTTTTTACCGTTAGTTCAAGAAATATATCAAGATCATGGCAGCAAAGGGAAACAACTCTATACAGCAACTCGACGTTGTTCATTATACCAGTGCAGTACCAAATCTTTAAAATGTTTAAAGACGACACATTAAGATTCGGTCTCAGGCGTAAGTTTTACCCATAGACTGCGCGATGATTGGTTTCAAAGAAAGCCTGTTTAGGTAAGCAAAGCAGCGCTGCTTCACACAATCATTGGATCAGTCATTGGCCTTTGCGCCTGGGTGTATTCTTTCCAAGCAAGGCAATAGATTTAATTAGAATCATCCCCTGAAGAGCGGCAACGTAATGACTTTACTCACGCAATGCACCCAATCAGTCAAGTTGCAGACCGAGAGACTCAGTAACGCAGTTGTATGCTGTATATTTCAATGGAGATCGATGCGTCACAATAATGACGTCATATGATTGTCAATAAACAAGAATAACCATTACTTAATATCGTGTACAACCTATCACCCCTGACCTAGATATTTGTACGTTTGTGGCAATATTAATGCAATATTGCAAATGAAAGAATAAATCCAGCTCCACCTCCCTTGTTTTCATATCCCCTGAATTGAGTGATAAAGTCGATTACAAAGTCTGTGACAGTTTACGAAAGGTGTGTAGCTTGTACTAACCTAGAAATATATGTGACCGTCTACGAGCTGTACACATCATGTACTAATCTCGAAAATGTCTACGAACTGTGAGAAACTTGTATTAACCTTTAATACATATATGACAGTATACGAACAGTACGTAGCTTGTAACAACCTTGAAAAAGTCTGTGACAGTTTACGAACAGTGCATAGCGTGTACTAACCTGGAAAACGTCCGTGACAGTTTACGAACAGTGCGTAGCGTGTACTTACCTTGAAAACGTCCGTGACAGTTTACGAACAGTGCGTAGCATGTACTAACCTTTAAAATGTCCGTGACAGTTTACGAACAGTGCATAGCGTGTACTAACCTGGAAAAAGTCTGTGACAGTTTACGAACAGTGCATAGCGTGTACTTACCTTGAAAACGTCCGTGACAGTTTACGAACAGTGCGTAGCGTGTACTAACCTTGAAAATGTCCGTGACAGTTTACGAACAGTGCGTAACGTGTACTAACCTTGCCAGTTGATGTCACGGCACTGATTGCAGTTAAAGTCCAGCTCGTCACTGTTGGGTTCTAGGACTGCCACACGTGTAAAGTTACCATCTAAAATAAACACTTTCAAAGTTAATCCCAAACCTATTTTCATACAACTATTATATACTGGTATGTGATCTTTTATGCTGTACCTTAATTAAATATACTACTCGGAAGAAGTTAACCACCATACATTCTCCCAAATTACTATGTTTAATTTGTTGTGACAAGACGTACAGATACAAGAATCATCATCAGATGCAACACAAGAGGCATCATCAGATGGAAGTCCCACTCCCATCGCCCCCGTAAATTCGAAAGAAGAACTTTTCTGATTGTTACATAAAGTCTCGGATGATCTGTCCAGCTTGATGAGGGAATTTCAATATAATCTGCCTATCCGTATAGAAGAGTGGTTATTTAGCTCTCAGAACAAAACGATTAGGATTCAGAACTTTTCATTTTGCATGTCAGGTCGTTTTTGTCTTAAAGATATGTTTTAGCGGTCGTCACACAGTTGCTACAATACATTGTGATTTGTTACAATTACATGGATATAAATATGAATAAAATTGCAAAAATGTGAGTGAGTGAGTGAGTGAATATTTAACGTCACATCGGCAATATTTCAGCCATATAGTGACGAGAAATGTTTTATACAAATATGCAAAAATGTGATGTACAGTTATGATAACATAAGCAGTCTTGTTTCCATGGACAGAAAATCGAAAACTAATAATACAGTGAATGATACCAATTGGCAATCTGGGTACCGTTGTACAAAACAACCTTAGCGCTAACACTACCTTAAGTCTATGTTATGGTATGGGAGTTACGGTCACCTTAGCGCTAAGATCGTTTTGTACAACGGCACCCTGATCTCGTGTGTGCAAATCAAGTCGATTTGGGGATATGGTCCGGACAAGCCCAACGCCATTAACAGAGTTAAACATATTGCCATGGAAACGAACAAAAATAAATTCCGTAAATAGCAATAGACACACGCTGACAATGGGGTGTCTCAGTGTGCAAAGTTTCAAACCAAATTCCAATTAGTACAAACACACCACTATGAACCTCGTCAAAGTCCACCTTGTTCAAATGGAAACAGAAAAAAATAAAAGTTTTTTCAGTAGCAAAATGCTTCAGCTGACCCCCCGGGGATTTCATGAGAGAGTAACTATTACAGATATGATCCGGACGAAAAATGAACGTGGACGGACATAAGGGCCATCAAGCTGATTACTATATCCACCGTTTCAGATAACAGGGGATAACAAAGACTGGGCTGTTCTTGAACTTTCAGTGTGATATATACTCTTTGTATACCGTTATGACAGATCAGCTCGTGTACAAATGAACAGTAAAACATGTATCCAAAAAGACGTTTTCTTTCTGCTGCGTGTAGGATACGTGAATGCTGAACAGAGCTATTAAACCATTACGATTGTATGATTTAAATTGCAATGAGGTTGAATATTTATTCTCACGTCAGTTATATGTACATGTAATAATATCACCCAATTATTGTACATCAAAGTTACATACATGTTACGAGACTCATCAGGTTAACCATGGAATCGCTCATGTATCGAACAGACGCAATTCGGATGTGACGAAACCAAATGTACATATGGGCTTGACCTATCATAACAGTAAACACATTTCAGAGCCCAAACCACCTGCACACTATCCGGGTTAGAACTGATCTTCAGTAAACCATGCTTGTCATACTAGGCGACTAACGGGATCGGGTGGTCAGGCTCGCTGACCTGGTTGGTGCATGTCACCGTATCCCATTTGCGTAGATCGATGCTCATGCTGTTGATCACTGGATTGTCTTGTCCAGACTCGATTATTTACAGACCACTGCCAATAGCTGGAATATTGCTGAGTGCGGCGTAAAACTAAACTAAACTAAACTCAATCAATCAATCAACCAAAACTTGCAGACCGCTGCCATATAGCTGGAATATTGCTGAGTGCGGCGTAAAATTAAACTCAATGAATCAATCAGACGATTGTCCCGTAGCCGGAATATAGCTCAAAGTGGCTCTAAACAGCAAACAACCAAAGCATTCATTTTATTTTACAAGATAACAAATAATACATAAAACGTAAACAGGACATATGTAGCCTAAAAGACGCTGGCTGCAGTACTAAAAACTACACATTAACAGAAAACTTCAAAAAGAACGACAAAACTGTTACGCAACGAAAACGCGATTTAGTTCCCCTTCCATTCGCTCAGATGAGTTAAACTTAATGACGAGCATATATGTACATCTGTAAGCTATTTTAGTTCGTGACTTTGCCAGAATCCCCCGTACGGCTGTTAACATCACACATGCAAGTACATGTACATACGGTTCGGTGGGGTAGTCTAGTGGTTAAAGCGTTCGCTCGTCACGCCGAAGACCCGGTTCGATTCCCCACATGGGTACAATGTGTGAAGCCCATTTCTGGTGTCCCCCGCCGTGATATTACTGGAATATCGCTAAAAGCGGCGTAAAATTCAACTCGCTCACTCACATGTACATACACAGAGAGAAGATTAGGGATGCATGGAAGATGAACGAATTAGTGATAGGCGCCCAAGAGAGCGCAATAAAGTTGGGGTTTTTTTAATGCTTCTGGGTCAGTTTGAAAATAATCTATAATCTATTGTGAAACCTGCAGCGTACTGGAGCGCTTAACAGCCACGCTCAGTCTTCCTGCCGCGGTGTTTTGTTCAGATGATTTCATCGTAAGACACAAGTCGATATTGCATAACACATTTCTCCTATAATGGCATGGATCCCGTATCATTGGTATTGACAATTACCTTGGTTTTGATAGATGACTGCTATACTCTCTCTGTCGGAGCCTTTGAAGGAGACGGGGCCCTGTGAGATAAAAAAGATAGTTGTTAAAAATATAAAACTGGAATGGTATATAAGATCTTATTCACCGGTGCAGACATGCGCCGATTACACGGCTGAGGAACATGCTAACAAAGGCTTTCATTTCTCAGATGTTTTTTATTTGCACGCAAAATAATGCACGCTTGTCTGGATTTTACTTTTTGTTGAAGAAAGGTATCCTTGATATATAGTCGGTTTTTGTAAGAGCGATTTCCATAAGATAATTATTGTTTTGATCAATTTGCAAAATACAGGGATCTTATGATCATTTGGTTATTCTTTGAGGTAGGGTTGAGTGCCCACACTGATTAAATGTCCAGCAATGCAGGAGGTTGGGCTGCGTTAAGTTGTATTGATGAGCGCGCTGGGTCCTTGCTGTATATTTCAAAAGAAACAAGCAGTTTTGTAGGAATATATAAAGTCTGATCTTTCACCTGACAGATTGCCAGTTTTGACTGATGGAATACACGCGAGTATTCACATTAAAACTCTCATAAACACTCGCATTCAATTCTACATTAAATTCTACATTATATGGGGCGGGGTTAGCCTAGTGGTTAAAGCGTTCGCTCGCCACACCGAAGGCCCGGGTTCGATTACCCACTCAGGTACAATGTCTGTAGCCCATTACTGGTGTCCCCCGCCGTGATATTGTGGGATTGTTTTTTTAAAGCGGCGTAAAACCTCCCATTCTATGTTAATAATCCACACCCAGCTCCACATAAACAACCTTGTTTACCACATCCTAGCCTGCAACCACGACCACAGCCACATCTAACAGTCGGCCAAAAGAAAGTAAATCCTAGAAAAAATTGATTTGACCACATAAAAAAGAAAAGACTATCAGAACATTATAAGGTAGAAACAATCTGGAAACACACCTACATTAAGGACCAACACAAAATAAGATATTCGTATCAAATACCAATTAACCATTTTGATTAATTTTTTAGCACACACACACAGAGTGGAGGTGTTATCGGATATCAGGAATCTATGATAAAGTTTGCTACATTCAGGGCTTCATTACGACTAATCAATGGCACAAACCATCCGGGTATTGTCTTTATTGGATTCGGTTTGCTCTTAAACTAGTTCTTAACTAAAGATTAACATGGGGCCTTTCATCTGTGATTGGGTATCCCGAAGGCTACAATTGTGATGCGAATGAAGTCATTTGAAACATGACCATCTAGGGACAAACAAGCAGCTATTTTTATCAATTTTATCATCATCGCTATTATTATGGATAAGAAAAATTAATATATATCTAGCAAAGAGGGAAGACACTCACTCACACACACGCACGCACGCATACGCACCCATACCCAAACCTACCGAGACTCCGACAAAGCCAAGGTCGTCAATGGTTTTCATGAAGGCGTCCTTGACAGGGCGCATGTCGGAGTAGTTCAGCTGTCTGAGGTCGGGGAGGCTGTCGTTGCCAGTGTCAGCACGTTCAAGAGTCGCCCTCAGTGTTAACGCTATCGTCCACATGGTGTCGTAGGTTGTGCTGGCATACATGCTCATTGGCGCGGACCCGTTGTTCTCCCAGTACTCGCGCTGAAACTCCCCTGTTGTCTAGAAACACAGTCAAACAATTCTGGAGTGGTACACATGGGGAAATATGTTGGAATGTTATCATAATAAGCCGTGCGATAATGTCTCGGAGTGTATTGCGACGTAAGTGGAATGTCAGAGCTACTGAGAGCTATCTCGTTATATTGGGCTCAACAGGAGGATGTATACTGTTTTATAACGGCGTATCTCTTTGTATGTGCATATCAGGTGGCATAAGACGAAGGCACAGGTCCCCTTGCTCGCATTCCTGTTTTATGTTAATACAAACTACCTTCAAAGAGAATATCAAATATAAAGTAGTCATTCATGTAGAGTCTGATCTCATTGTCCTTGAACCACATTATTTTCCCTACTGCATAACCCTCCCAGCAATGCTAAAGCCTTAAATGAAGCAAGTCTAGATTTCCCTAGGTTCAATGTCCCAACTCTATGGGGCTCCTTTTCTACTTTAATGGGTCTATTTGTTACTATCACAATTATATATAGTCAGGGACTAAGCGTTAGTCTAGGTCATTTATTATAGAGGGAGTGAGAGAAGTCTGTCTTAGTCTTTATCGCATTCTGCTCGCACCCTGTAATAAATGATAAGTACCTAAATAAACGTTCACATTTATACAAGATGAATATGAACAATCTAATGATAAAAAAATATAAATATTATCAACACCCCTTCCTTCGTTACACCTTTTTTCATACCCCCATCCCCAAGCTATAACCCCTTAAAACGTTTTATATCAACACGGAAGTGTAGACGTCAAACTATGGGCACCCTAAAGGCATCATTAACCGAGTTCCAAATATCAACTTATTAATTTCTATCTTCCAAGTGAAGACATTCGCTGCTGAAGCCTTTGTTGTCCTTATCGAATGAAGCCTGTAGGGTTTAAACCTCACACGCCTGCATGTGCACTGGGAACTGTTCCTGACGCATCTTCTGTTGCATAGTGTACATCACACACTTCGGTATTTCACGCCATTATTATATGGTCTGTTGTTTCAGAACTATCACGGACATGGAAGATATTACTGTCTTTGATATGTGAGAAGCTGCAGAAGAAACACTGCCCGCTGAGGACATGAGAACCAGGAAGCGGATCTCATAGCATGAGGGAAATCATAGATGCGTGTGAGATTGTAATACACCAACTGAAGTGTGATGACGCGAATAATGCATAAGACCTCCTGCGCAATGGCGCAGTACTGAGTGATGCTCTTGAACAAATAAAGGAACATCTCGCTGGTCCAGATGCAGTGGAGGTCTTGTCGGATATCAGGAATCTATGATCAAGTTTGCTACATTCAGTGCTTCATTACGACTAATCAATTGCACAAACCATCCGGTTATTGTCTTTATTGGATTTGGTTTGCCCTTAACCTAGTTCTCAACTGAAGATGGAGATGAGGCCTTTCATCTGTGACTGGGTAACCCGAAGGATACGACTATCATGTGAATGAAGTCATTTGAAAGATTCCGTCGACGGACAAACAAGCAGCTATCATTTTATCATCATCGCCATTATTATTAATTAGAAAATATATATCAAGCAAAGGGATCACAGCCAGGCTGGTGAGGCTCGTCTGGGAAGTACCAAACCTAAGCCACCAAGAACAATGGTGAATTGGACAAGTTTGTGGTGAATTGACAATTTTGTACTTGAGATGCAAGCGTGACATTTCGAAAGTGAGATCCAAATCTGAATCTTAAATTATATTTTTGTAGGGGTGGACAGAGAACTCAATGATATACATATTTTCATTGGTGTTATCAAAACGATAACATCCAAAATTGAATATCGATAACTTCCGGTTCGTTGGACTGGATATGTCAGAGGCTGCAGTATATAAGCCATCCTATTCCAAAGATTTTTAGAATGGTCACTTTCCATGACACCCTGTACATATTCTGGGTTATACCATGGATGGACCTCTAAGTCAGCCAGTATGAATATTATTATTATGGACAGATTCCTACCAGATTAGCCACAGACATGGTATCGCCCATGAGGTTGTTGAGGCTGGACACGATGATGTATCCCTCCGCTGCTTCCCGTAGTTGTTGTCGTGTGCAGCCGCTGATGTCTGTGCTGTTCCACCATGTGTCTAGGAAGCTCCCGACGAGAAGCCACACGTAGCGGTGACCGTACATGCCCAGCTTGTAGGCCTGTATCAAGCAAAAACATACGTTTATTTCTGTTTATTTCTGCAAACTGCCAAAACATTTTTCTTTCTCCGTCATCTTTACTTATTTCAACTGGGGGTGGGGATAACTTTATGTGCAAAGTGTGAAGCCGATTTCTGATTATCCCCAACTTTCACATCACAAGTATATCGATATTACTGATGGCAGCAAAGTATCATTTATCTGACTTTAATACAGAATATAAGATTCATGAAATGTTTAAGGCAATAGTTATTTAATTTTCCAGCTGTTCCCTCTTTTCGCGTACTCAGTTATGTCAACATTCAACAAAAAAGTAGGGAGCAAACTGTTCGATATGGGGCAAAAGACATCTCGGGGGATTTAAAACCAAAAAGTTGTTATCCGTTAAGCCGGTAGAGTTTCTTTTGCCCCTCAGTTATAATATATACAACCAGTAGAAATTGATTATGCTGTAATGTGACACTACCTATATACTCGCAGATATAAATCCAGTGCATATAATTACTGGGTGGAGTTGGCGTAATAGCCAATCAAAATGGGGATCGGGTGGTCAAAATGGGTGACTGTTTGTGTCATCGTTCCCAGACTTTGTGGATTATTTCCATTTAGTCAACATCTGGTGTGCCTATTCAAAGGACACAGCTGGAATATATATTGCTCAGAGCGGCATAAAACAATCATTGAGACCTCTGTATATCAGTCAGGGGCAGAGTACGGCAAATATACAGTACTCGGGGGACAAGACACGTGACTTTACGTTGCTTTAATCTTATTACATTTGAGCATCTAAAACCTAACCCTGGTATATCCGGACAAGACATCCTTAATGTAGAGTGTTCATAACTTTCTTCAATACAGAGTTTAAACATATTGTACAGGTATTCAGCTGTGGCCAGGATACACAACTCCAAGGCCGCAAAAATAGGCTAGGTGGAGTTGCCTCCCTTGGGCGTTCCAGGATCTGCTAGTTGCGGGTTTAGATTCCCCGATATGCCCAACCCGGAATCAGGTGTTTGTCAGCTCTTCAAGTAGTCGTACGTTAAACGTGCGCTACATTCTATTTTCATACTGACACGACTTAATAGCACTGAATGTTGAAAACGGTCTTAAACATAACTCACTCACTCACTCAGCTATCGTAAACTGTCAACATGTCACACAGAGGAAAGGGTGGTGTGTATTAGAAAGTACTGATATCTTTGTAAACCAAGACAAACCTCACAGAACACTTGCCTCGCAGAAGACTGCGAAAATCCTCCGATCAAGATCCGGACGTCGAGAGTCTGAAAACGTCAGACACATTTATCACATTGCGTACAGGTATTCATATGAATAGCACATAAACACATCTCTACTTAGACAAGTGACAAGTTTATTTGCATTCGAGGCTACACGACCCGCAGTGCTACTCATACAATGAGGCGTATAGTGCGGTGTTTCTATACATATTTTTCAGAAAGGAGCTTACCTGGGTAGGTTTCTATTCACATATATAAATACACTTTTAATAACCGTCGGGTCCACTGATTACAGATGCTGAGATAATTCATCTATGGAAGGATTAGTGCAATGATAAGGCGGCAAAACATCCTCTACTTATTTTCAGTCGAGTAATCTCTGTTTAAGTTTCAGTACAAATCAAACTGATTCTACCAAATTGGGGCGTTATGTCGGTCTGATCGTTATTTGTTCATAACACCAGTTTTATTGAGGTAGGTAATAATGCACGGTGTAGACTCATTGCTGATTCAGCGGATGGAATGCCAGATATAGAGTAAGTCTAAAAGAAAGCCTATTTATATTATTACGTATTATTACATATGTGTGACAGTAAACAGCGATGTGCTAGACAATATTTGAAGTGCGTTTGCGTAATTGAAAACGACGTGGCAGTTCTTAAAAATAGTACTGCAGCACAGCCCCTTTTAAGAAGGAGGACAATGTTTGCTAGTCACTAGACGGTTTTCTTTGAATGACATTGTCAGGTTTTAGGTTTTAAGACATCTTTCCATAGAAAATGTCGGTATGATTTTGGAGTATATATAACAGATATTTTATGTGGCATTTTCGTGTTGTAAAACACTGAAATGAGCATTTTTTTAAATATCTTGCTTGAAAATGACACTTTGTGTATAATAGACCTCTTTGTGAAGTATTGACATAACGTATGACAGTAACAGTTTGTATGAAAGTGATATTCTGTATGTCAATGACCTTCTCGTAAGACACTGACAAGATGCACAGGAACATTTTTGCGTGTATCATGCATTCCGTCCTGCCAATGACCTTAAGCTTGTTGTAAGACATTGACATTAATAATAATAACGGCATTTGTAATTCGCTGAATTCTTCACCACGGAGGGGCACGCTCAAAGCGCTACAATCTGATTATTATTAACCCGGATAACCCAAGCTGCCTGTAAGGCGCTAGAGGGTTATGTCACATATGACTTATCCCACCGGGTACCCATTTACTGCTGGGTGAACAGAGGCAAATTTGAACAAACTCACTATCCTAAGGTGAGACCACATTTATCACACGTGCTTCGTTGTGTGGCAGCACTGATGTCCTAGAAACTCTCAGGAGTCAAGCTGCCAAACACGGTCACCCATCCAAGGACTCTCCGAGGTCGACGTTGCTTAACTTCAACTGATTCGTGACCTGAACCCTTCGCGCTGGAACTCACACCACTACATCATGTCTGTTTATATTCAGCGTCTGATACTCTGTATGTCAATGACCTCCTTGTAAGAGGCTGACACTATTCACTGACCTATTCGCATGTTTTCAAACGCCGCCTCACTTTAAATCCATTAATTTCTGTGTCAGTAAACACCCAAAGCAATGAAACCTACTTTCAACCTCTTCATTTTTTGAGGCACTTCGTTCTTCGACGTGAAGGACAGAGCAGCGACGGTAGAGATGTTGTGGTTGTCGAACACGTCACCGATATCGTCCATTGCCTGGAAAACAAACCCAAGGTGATGAAGAAGTGATTTGTAATTGATTTAGCTTCCTCCGGGCTAAAGTCGACAAAACACACTCCATGCTAACATGTTGACAATCCCAGCGCTAAGACTAACTGGGTCAACATTCCTACGCTGTTCGTGTTTGTCTCGTGGTATAAAAGACCTTCAGTCTCAGTCCCAAGGCAGAATGAATTAACATATATTCATCTCTAAAACTAGTGATGATACTTGCGAAATAATTAAATTTTGTGTCATGATACATATAAACATGTTTTCATTCATTTACAACCTCAAAAACACGAAAAAAACACATTCATTTTGAGCAAAAGAAAATATTCTCGCTCATGGACGAGGTCGTTTAAATTTTGAAATTTCGAAAAACAAATTTATTTTTTCATCCTTAGCATATGTTCATGGATTTTGTTGAAGTTTGTAGAATCCTTTCTCAGAAACTGGCCACAGTGCGGAGAGTTTCTGGACTTTGAGTTTCCAGAATTAAAGTATGACGTGTTATATCTATGAAATAGAATCATTTCTGTTGGATTTTCCACATTTAGATAAGCTAACCCTGAGTCCCTATATTATGAACTAGGACCATGATACAATGATGTGGTATACTTGGTAAATGAATCAGTACCTTTGACAGTAACATGTAAAGTTTTGTTTCAACTAACAGTTATTTATCACATTTAACATTTTGATTTTCAGGCTCATGATATCTCTTCGACCATACTCAGAAGTACCTATGACGTATTTGTTGCATGCGCACCATCCGTCCCAACAACATTGGCTACAGATGGCCAGTGGCGAAACGATATCTCAGTGCTGTTTTTATATGTATGCTAGTCTCCGTATTAAGTATTTCTGTTTCTAAGGCGCTGTTGGATGTACGGTATGTCCACTAAGCTGAGGTTTGTTAGTGAACAGAGTCGACTGGAACAGACCTAAACAGATCTTGGACTTAGCAGTTATTGTCCTGGGTGCCGTTGTACAAAGCGACCGTAGCGCTAAGGTGATCGTAACTCCCATACCCTAACACAGACTTACGACTGACGTAGCGCTAAGGTTGATTTGTACAACGGCACCCAGGTCAAGTCGCTGTATAGGTTCATGGTTTCAGCAATGTGGCATGCGTCCATGGCCTTCGTCCCTCTTGCCTTTGTACCCACATAAAGCTGCCATATGCTGTGACGTAATGGTGGCATTGTTTATATGTGTTGGAACCAAGGTATCATCTATTTCCTGTTACAGTGTCTTACACCACCATCACCACTACCAGAATCACATGCATTCTCGTGTCAGTGCCAACTGTATCTCACATTAGAATGTATCTTATATTAACCTTTCTATATTTCAGAGGCAGATTTCCCCAGTTCAACCTAGATACCCACATTATATGTAAAAATTGCAAACGTTTTACAGATAAATTGCCTGGAACATCTTAACCGCCGCAGTTCCTTGAATACATGATCGAGCTAAATTATCCAATATGTCATGTTCGTATCAACCAGGATCGAAATATTTGCAAAAGACAACAGATGGGTAGTGTGTTTGTGCCTGTATGTATATTAAACAAATCAGCTAAAGAATATAAGAATAACTATAAGTATATACCCTGAACCTGTTCGGTCCTTCGTGACTCAAGTCTTCGAGATTTCAGGATATCACCTTTGATGTAAATCACTCCCAGTAGGAATACATCACCGGTTAATGACCTTGCGGCCTAACAAGCAACGGTGTCCGAGCGGTCACCACCACGGGATGACCATGTTGTCCGGCTAATTGGAAGCAAAGGAATCTCTCACGATTATCTTTACTAATCTCATGTCAGTCAGCACTTGATAGATGAGAACTATACATAAACGCTATAGATGTCTGCCTAACAAGATCAGCCCTACACGTATGGCCATCCAAGGTATCTGATACCAACATGCGACACACACAACCTCGCTCATCGCCCATCATGACGTTCGTGTTAAATATGATTCGTTAATGCCATATGTCAAAATATTCTTAGAGATACATTAGAGGAGATTATTAAGTTAACATCTCACGTGTTTCTTAATGTACACTGGGTTATGTGTTTGTCGCATTGAACATGAAACCGTTATGAGATAATGTTGTTTATTGTTTTGTTTTGTTTCGTTTTGTTTATCTGTTTTGTTTTTTAGAGGAAAGGGTTGTTTTTCACTTGTGAATGACGAAGCTACATACAAATATTCTCCACCACAGAATGAAGTATGTTGCGTTAAATGTCAAATGAGATTATGTTAAAAGGGAAAGGGCTGTCACTAACAGTGCCCTGAAGTTTAATTTCACTCAACGTTGCTCAGGGGTAGCCAAGTGGTTAAAGCGTTGGCATGTTACCTGAAAGATCCGGGTTCGATTCCGCACATGAGTGAAATGTCTGAAGCCCATTTCTGGTGTCCCCTGCTGTGATATTGCTGGAATATTGCTAAAAGCGTAAAACCCAGTTCACTCGCTCAATTTCTCGAAACTATTATGTATATCGGTGTCAGATATTTATTGTCCTAGTTTCAGAGAAACAGTGTCTCATGTTACCTGTCACTTCAAATTGTGTTTCCTTTGTGTGCAATTGATAACTGAAAATATTTCATGTTCCACCTTATTCAAAATATGTTTCTCACCCACCATTCCCTCCCTTTGATATTAATATGTTTATATATGCTATGGATACTATAAATACAAGCCGTTTCTACTTACAAGTGAATATATTTCTTTATCTTCGTACAGTGTAGCAACTGTATTCCACCGGAAGTATTGAATGAGCATGCGCCGAGCAGGATTGAGAGAAGAATCCCCTGGCGCAAGGCGGAAGAACGTATTATATTTCTCTCTTTCGCTCAAAGCAGGTGACGTGGCAGCATGGGATATCTACAAGAGATGAAGCGTTACATAGTTTTAGCACAATGTTCAGTTTTCGTTCATCGTCAATGATATCACTTTGTTGGAGTGAGTTTAGTTTTACGCCGCGCTCAGCAATATTGCAGCTATATGGCGGCGGTCTGTAAATAATCGAGTTTGGACCAGACAACCGAGTGATCAGCATGAGCATCGATCTACGCAATTGGGATACGATGACATGTGTCAACCAAGTCAGCGAGCCTGACCACCCGATCCGCTGGTTGTCTCTTAAGATGAGCATAGGTTACTGAAGATCAATTCCAACCCGATTCTTCACGGATCATTTTGTTGGAAACATTGTTGGTTACACAATTTAAAATTAATTAGTACTTCATTCGTGTGCTGCCACGGGTAGTATAATCTTGATTACCCCCGTAAAAGACAAAAACCCTGAACAAACTAGATGTTAAGTGTACCTATATACCCAACAGTTTCAAGTTTACAACTCACATTCTAAATAAAGACAAAACTTTATGGATGAACAACTTCTTTATTCGGAAGTTGTTCATCCAGAAAGTTTTATACTTATCTGATCATCCAACTTCTAAACATGCCACTCAAAAAAGTCACATTCTAAAGTTTCAGTTTCCAAGTCAAATAACAAAGTTTTAACAATTTTACAAAAGCCAGCAAAAGCAGATCAAAAGCGTTTGAAATGACACTATGTCTGATATTAAAAGCTTCATACGTGTAAGTCACGGCAATTTTGCAACAAAATGCAATATAGTAATAACTTCAAGCGTTCAACAACGAGCATTAGCCCATAGACTCATTTCATCACTGAACGTGCCTATGTAACCCCCAAAGCAATATTAGCATAATTCCACTGCCGATGCGAAGTGTGTGTTTTAGTGATTCATTCATATATCGGTCGGTTGATTCGAAAAGCTCCATTGTGTAAGTCACGTTATTGGAATTTAAAAGCGTTCGATCGGCTTTTCTGCACCAATGCACACTTCCATGGAATGCGCTTAAGAGAAACGTATCTGGAACCTTTAACGTTAACATCCGGGTTCAAACAGATAAATAACATCATTCGATTCGCATTTGAGAAAATCTATCAAAAAAACCACGACGAATTCTCTTGACAGATTTATCCAACTGACTAATCTCAACACAGGTCCGGACCATTTCATTTTTTTAACACTCATGTGATGAATTGACCCGGTAACATGTTTTCTACTGATCAAGCTTGTGCCCGATTTCCATTGGTTTCCAGTGAGATTCGAGACGCCGGAGTTTCGACGTTGGCACTGTGGGTGACGTGGGATGCAAAAAAACACATCCTGCTTATAAAACGAAATACTATGGCTGGCCACTTCAACCAGTGAAACTAGTAATCAAGGGCACATTTGGCATACGAAAGGAACAAAGACATTAAAGGGACGGCTACAACAAGGTTCAGTCCTGAGATCCTGAACGTAGTTCTCTGAGAACGTCTACTTTGTATCTTCTGCTGTATGATCGATAGATGTATGCCATTTATATTGTTTTTGTTACATTCTTAAACATTAATTGGAAATTTATCATATCTATGTCACGCCTAAGCGCGTGAACTGGGAATGAGTGAAGAATGACTGGACAAACGATACACAATGGCTGCTTGGTAACCATGAACAGCGCATGCGTGTGATCTTCTGTACTCTTAGGGATCAGCTCAAAAGCCCAATATCCGATTAAAAAATTAATTCCTCAAGATGAAGTTGGAGATTAGATATCTGCACGTTTTCTGTCAGTCAAAACTGTGTTTAACGGGGACTCTCTTTGAGGATGTCAACAGCTGGAATGATACGGAAACACTCTCAGTGATTCTCTGGGCTCATTTTCATACCGAGTTGAAGAAGACAAGTTTGATCAAGATAATTTCTGGTCCAATAGAATTCCTCAGTTGGTGAAACTGAAAAAAAATCTGTCTCGAAATTAATCGAAAGCATTTAAATGACTGATCGTGAGATCTGGCGTTTTTCGTCAACTTGCAACTTTCAAGTTTTGGACATCAAGTAACAGATTACATTAGTGATCAAGGAGCGAAAAATGTCCGTTTAAAAGTTTTTGAGAGCATGTTTTTATGTGACTGTTCAACTTATTATATTGAATAAAGTGATTTTTATTACACGTACAGAGAAACCGTGAAACTTTCATCACGGAAAAGCTCATAATTCTCCAAAAGTTCAAAAACTCGAACTGTTCCGTGTATCTTAATTATACATCTCTAGTTATTGGGGTTGTAAATGTAACATTGAAAAGTTTTAAAAAGAAAATAATCAGTTAAAACGTTAGACACGGGTGACAGTTCGCGTCGATATCTGTGCAAGAATGTGACACTTTCCCTAGATGTCTTCATCGTGTAGTGAAATGGATTAAAACATGCACCACAGGATTGAAAGTTCAATTATAACTTTCAGACATGAAACCACGGTGGTCAGTGAAAGGGGCATATTCTATTCCAGGCTCTGAAGGTAAGACTAACGTCGCCGTTATTGGCCGTGATTGTTAATAAGGCGTCTCCTCTCCAGCACACTTTGACACTTACCAGCGAACTCGTTTCAGAAGGGGTAGACGATACATGTCGAGATTAAATATCTACAAATCACACAGAATCAAACAGCCTTTGATTGGGTTTGAAAGCACCGTGTTGCTTGCAGTGCATCGGGGATACAGTAATGGGATCAACACGCTTGAACAGCCGCCCAGACTGTCATCAAACAAATGTCTCGAGTAATCTTCATACGGTCGAGAATTACACAATATCGAGACTGATGAAGTGGGGGAATAAACTTGAAGTAATAGACATGGCATTTCATACTTTGACAATGACGTCAGAGGAACACGTAAACTGCCAGGCAAAAGAAAGAATCCACTTAAATAATTGGAATTGATCGAGAATTTCAAGCGTTATCAAAACGATACTGGGCTGACAACAGTTGTTGAAACACTGCATGCGTAAGTCCCAAAGAACAAGAATGGCACCGATATCAAATACATCCAAAACTATATTTTCGTTTATTTTATTTCGCCTTTATAAATGGCCTCATATATTCGTTTTATTGGGGGCGGTGAGGTAGCCTAGTGGTTAAGGCGTCCTCTCGTCACGCCGAAGACCCGGGTTCCATTCCCCACATGGGTACAATGTGTGAAGCCTACATGTCTCTACATGTGTGAAGCCTACATTGCTGGAATATTGTTAAAAGCAGCGTAAATCCATACACACTAACGTTTTGTTTTTTTTCTGTATATTTTCTGCACATTATTTGCAGTCATTCATGGCAGCGTTAGATGTGTGTTTGGGAACGGAGACCTGGTGGTCTGTGCCGGAACTTGCTCGATGGAGTTACGTGTCAATTCCGTGCCAGGATCTGATGATCGTAATGTTTAGGCATTGTTGGTTCTCAGAACAATTTTGTTATCCCAGACTTCACAAATGTGATAAACGACCACCCAGCCTCACTCAGTCAGTGACACATGGTGAGATGAAACTATGGAGAATAATAATTCGTATTTCAGTTTATGGTGTCAGCGACCGCCTCCGTGGTGTAGTGGTTAGAGCGTCCGCCCGGAGAGCGGAAGGTCGCGGGTTCGATCCCCGACTGCGTCATACCAAAAGACGTTAAGGTATGGTACTTGTTGGTCCCTGCCTAGCGCTCGGCATTAATGGGTACAACAAGGACTGGTCGGCTCGGAGTCAGTATAATGTGTCTGAGTGGGGTATTCATGCTTAACTGCGGCATGGTATCTCACTGGGCTAGCACTATAGAACCAGCTTAAGACTGGGCTAGTACAATCAGCCACACATACGCACGCATGCACGTCGACATGTGAGCGAAACATTTTTAAGTACGACGTTAAACCCCATTTCACCTCACCTCACTTATGGTGTCAGCTGATCTAACCACACACCCAGGTTACAGCCTGTCTCTGGTAGATCAGGGATCACAATTTAGTCTCGGAATTGAGTCAGCCGATCTTGCCACGTGTAGGGAACGACAAGCTTACGACTTGGGATACGACTGTGTACAAGAACGGTGCGTTCAAACAGTCATTGGGAAATTTGGAGTTAGACTTTTGAATTTGGAATGTTACACATGCAAGGAGGCGACAGGAAAGTCATATAACCTTACTCGGGGCGTTCGTCTATTGCGTGTCATCGTACATCGGCAATCTAAGACAATGCTCATTATATCAGTCACTGGATGTCTGATTCAGAATCGATTATAAACTGCGTCATACAACCGGCAATATGCTCAGTACAATATTCAACAACAAACAAACACTCTCCAAACTCGTTATGTCCCTCTCTCTGTGTTATATAGTCGAAAATCAGTTATCTTACAAAGTCGTCATTTCACAACGTCTTCTCGATGACGCAAGATTCCAGTAACTCCATATTCAACACAGAAGCAAGAAGCAGTAATCCAATTTCTGAAGAAATGTCAAAGAGTCCACTTTTCAACCCAGAAGAACCAGGTCTCTGTTTCACCTGCAACCCACTTCCAGTGACACGAGGGAGAGACAACTGATGTATACTGCAACATATGGACACCCTTGTCGCTTATTACTAAAACATACCATCATCATCTTGACACAGCTGGAGGCTTGACACCAAAGTGAGCCGTCTACCTTACCATTTCCGGAACCTCTGATGTCATTACCTGTGCACAGCTCGTCCCCACCAATGTCATGTTGCGGTATTGACTAAGCGGTGTCTCTGTCTCTGCGCCAAATGTAATAAACCTTGTCTAGCAAAATGTAATATGCTTACACTGCGGCCTTACATCTCCTCTTGCGGAGTAGCATCGTACAACTCCTGTATTACTTTGACAAGGCGGTGGACCACATGAAATAAGTTTGCTGACAGTTATCTTTTTATATTTTATTTATGGTTGCATCAGAAAAGATTGTTCTATCAAACGAGATCAATAAATATTATCGAAATCCCATTCTGAGATGATGTGAGAGGATGTGACACCATG